CTCCTCCTCCTCCTCCTCCTCCTCCTCCTCCTCCTCCTCCTCCTCCTCCTCCTCCTCCTCCTCCATTCCTTTCCCATATAAACAAATTCTCATGTCGCACCCCGAAACCAACTTTTAGGGCGGGCCGGGCGTTTCGCCTGAGACTTTCTCGTCATTGCTGACTCTGAAGCTTCAAATTAGCAACATTTTCATAGATTGACGGCGGGTGGTTTTCAACATGTGGTTCTCGCCTTAGCGCCGCGCACATCCGTTTTCAAACATTTGCGATAGTTTCACAGACTGAGGACGGGTCGTTTTCAAAATGTGCCTCTCGCCTTAGCGCGGCGCTCAGTCGTTCTGAAAATCTGCAAGAATTCCACGGATTGAAAGCGGGTGGTTTTCAAAATGTGTCTCTCGCCTTAGCGCGGCAAAGATTCGTTTCCAAAATTTGCAGGAACTCCACGGATTGAGAGCGGGTCGTTTTCAAAATGTGGCTCTCGCCGCAGCGCGGCGCAGATTCGTTTCAATATTACGCAAGAACTTCACCGATTGAGGGCGGTTTCTTTTCAAAATGTGGTTTTCGCCTCAGCGCCGCGCCTACTCGTTGTAAAAATTCGAGAGGGCTTCACGGATTCCCATCATCAACATACCAGAAATTGTGTTTTGAAAGGAATCAGGATTACGCGGGCGGAACAGTTACTTTGATTCGCTGTGTTGAAATACAAGGAATGGCAGTCTGGAGCGATTCTGGATCGTCAATACGCAAAGAGTCAACTTGATCCGTGGCGTTGGAAACTGGAGAACAATGTTTTAGCATGCTGCAGGGTCTTCCAACGGTTGTCTTCCAACGACGCAGTTACCTCAATGGAAATGAGCCGTTGTGACGGCCTATGCAAAGGAAAATCGGAAGGATGGTTGATTAAAACATCGTCGATGCCTCTTGGGTTTACACTGGTTTTCCTCCTCCTCCTCCTCGTGCTCCTCCTCCTCCTCCTCCTCCTCCATTCCCTTATAAATCCCTGTCGCACCCCGAGGCCAATTTTTGGGGCGGGTCAAGCATTTCGCCTGAGACTTCCTCGGCATGTATGCCTCTGAAGCTTAAACATGGACAACAGCTTCACAAATGGAGGGCGGGCGGTTTTCAAAATGTGCCTCTCGCCGCAGCGCGGCGTATATTCGTGTAAGAACACTGCAAGAGCCTCGCAGATTGAGGGCAGGTGGTGTTCAACATGTGGCTCTCGCCTTAGCGCCGCGTACATTCGTTTCAAAAGATGCAAAACTTTCACGGATTGAGGGCGGGTCGTGTTCAAAATGTGGCTCTCGCCGCAGCGCAGCGCAGATTCGTTTAAAAATTATGCAAGAGCTTCACGGATTGAGGGCGGCTCCTTTTCCAACTGTGACCCTCGCCTTAGCGCCACGCACATTCGTTGACAAAATTCTCTCCCATCATCAACGTACCAGAAATGGCGTTTGGATATATTAAGTGGAGAGATTAAGGATTATGCGGGGGCAGCCAGTTATGCTGATTCTGTGTTGAAGTCCTAGGCATAGCGTTCTCGCACGGTTCTGGATCGTGAAGACGCGAACGTCTGTCTGATCCGTGGCGCTGGAATCCCGAGAACAATGTTTTGGCATCCTTCAGGGTCTTCAAACGGGCGTCGTCCAACGAGGCAGCTCCTTCAATGAAAATGACCCGTTGCAGGGGCCGATGAAGGGGGAGCTTGGAGGGAGGGTTTACTCCAACATCGTTGCTGACCCTGGGGCTTACAATGGTCCTCCTCCTCCTCCTCGTCCTCCTCCTCGTCCTCCTCCATTTCTGATCCTTGTACACAACTTTTCCCTGTCGCACCCCGAAGCCGGTTTTTAGGGTGGGCCGGGCTTTTCACCTGAGACTTCCTCGCCACTTCTGACTCTGAAGCTGCAACCTGGCAACTTCACAACTGGAGGGCGGGTGGTTTTCAAAATGTGACTCTCGCATTAGCGCCGCGCACATTCGTATTAAAAGATTACAAGAGTTTCACGGGTTGATGGCGAGTCGTTTTCAAAATGTGGCTCTCACCATATCGCCGCGCACGTTGGGTTGAAAAAATCGCGGATTGAGGACGGGTCGTTTTCAAAATGTGGCTCTCGCCTTAGAGCGGCGCACATGTGTTTCAAAAGTCGCAAGAGTGTCACAGATTGAGGATGGGTGGTTTTCAAGATGTGGTTCTCGCCTTACGGTGGCGCACACTCCTTCATAAAATTTGAAAGAGTTTCACGGAGTCCCATGATCAACGTACCGGAAATGACGTTTGGGAAGAATTCAGGATTGTGCGGGTGCAACAATTATGTTGATCCGCGGTGTTGAAATCCCAAAAATGGCGTTCTGGCACGATTCCGGATCTTCAGGTTGATCCGTGGCGTTGAAATCCCGAGAACAATGTTTTGGCATGCTTCAGGGTCTTCAAGGGTGTCTTCCAACGAGGCAGCTCACTCGATGGAAATGAACCGTTGTAGGGGCTTATGAAGAGGGAGCTTGGAGGGAGAGGTCATTCCAACATCGTTGATGACTCTTTGGTTTACACTGGTCCTCCTCCTCCTCCTCCTCCTCCTCCTCCTCCTCCTTCCCTCCTCCTCCTCTCCTATCCTCCTCCTTGGTCCTCTGATCCCTCCTCCTCTGTCCTTCCTTCTCACTCCCGACTTCCTCCTCCGTCCGCCTCCTCCTCCTCCAATCCTTCCTCCTCCTCCCTAACCTCCCTCTTCAGCTCCCTTCCACTCCTCCTCCCGCCTCCAGCCTCTTATCATCATCATCATCATCATCATCATCATCATCATCATCACATCATCATCATCACCATCATCATCATCAATCATCATCATCATCATTCATCATCATCTCCTCATCTCATCATTCATCATCATCATCTCATCATCTCATCTCATCATCCTCATCATCCTCATCATCTCATCATTCATCATTTCATCATCATCACCACCACCAACCACCACCACCACCATCATCAATCATCATCATCATCATCATCATCATCATCATCATCATCAACTCATCATCATCATCATCATCAGCAGCAGCAGCAGTAGCAGTAGCATCAGCATCAGCATCAGCATCAGCATCAGCATCAGCATCATCATCATCATCATCATCATCATCATCATCATCATCATCATCATCATCATCATCACCATCATATTCCTCCTCCTCCTCCTCCTCCTCTTCCTCCTCCTCCTCCTCATCATCATCATCATCCCCCCTCCACCTCCTCCTCCTCCCCCCCTCTGCTCCTCCAATTTCTCCCCCATCCTCCCCGTCTTAGGGTACGACGTCGTATCCAGCCCTTTATTGCACTGCATGCTCCCCCACGTCCCTGATCCGGGCAACTCGTTTGGGCATCTTTTCTGGATAGGCTAATGGGGTCGCGCGAAGCGTCTAGAATTGCAGTCGACGGGTAATCATGCCACCAATTTGCTCGCACAAAAGCTACCCCAAAAGGGGCCCCAAAGACAGGAACGTGCCCCACGGCTGGGCGGTGCGCCGTTCTGGGGCACGGCCACCCCCCCCCCCCAACCCTCCCCCGGGCGTCAGCGTTGCACGCAGCGGCAGCGCAGACCCGCATGGCCAACACTACGCAAGCTGAAGACAGCATGCACCAGGCAGGCACACGCGAACATGAGACACAGATCTGTGGATCCTGCATGGGGGACGTGGGCGAGGGTGAGGCCAGTGCCGCCTGATTTGGCGACCGTGCGCGCTAAACTCTGCACGGAAGCGGGACCCGCCGCCCGTCCACGCGCCTGGATCCGTGCTTGCGCCCCCTCGAATCAGGCAGGGTGCGCCTCCCACGCTGTCACGAAGCCCCCAGCCCGAACACGCACTAAGAGATGCCAGCACCCATGCCGCCGCTTCAATGTTCGCTCTCCAAGTCCGCGGCAATTCCGCCGTCGTCATCGCGCGCGCCCGTCGTCGGAGGCCGGTGCTCCCCGCACCTACCGCGGGCAATGCCAGCACTCTGCTGACCTCCAGTGGCTCGCTGTGTTCCGCCCGCGGATCGCCTGGTGCCCGCTGGTTCCTCCCTCCGGCCACACGCAAGAGTGACCCCAAGCAAGCGTGGTGTTGTTGCGCGGCTTGCCGATCGTAGCACGAGGTGCGACAACAGCGGCCTCCTCGCTTGGGTCTTGGCTCCTCCTCCTCCTCCTCCTCCTCCTCCTCCTCCTCCTCCTCCTCCTCCTCCTCCCCCTCCTCCTTCCTCCTCCTCCCTCCTTCCTCCTCCTCCTCCTCCTCCTCCTCCTCCTCCTCCTCCTCCTTCCTCCTCCTCCTCTCCTCCTCCTCTTCCTTCCTCCTCCTCCTCTCCTCCTCCTCCTTCCCTCCTCCTCCTCCTCCTCCTCCTCCTCCTCCTCCTCCTCCTCCTCCTCCTCCTCCTCCTCCTCCTCCTCCCTCCTCCTCCTCCTCATCCTCCTCTCTCCTCCTCCTCCTCCTCCTCCTCCTCCTCCTCCTCCTCCTCCTCCTCCTCCCCCTCCTGTTCGTCCTCATCCTCCTCCTCATCCTCCTCCTCCCCCCCGCGCCCCCTGGAAGCCGCGCACGCAGGGTCACCCTGGCGAAGGGTCCCCCTGACGTGTCGCCGATGCCTCTCCCGGCTCCCTTCCCCTCCCGGCCGCATCCTGCCTCCTGCTGCGCAGACGGATGCCGCTTGGGACATCCAGGCGGTGCCCGGCTGGAGCCACCAATGCCGACTGTGCCCGATGCCATCGGTCTTAGGCAGTTCGCGAAACAGCAGGGGGAACCGGGCACACGAGCAAGGTCTCCCTCCACGAGCACCTCCACCCTCTTTCATCCCCTGGCAAGAGCATTATGAAAACTGACCTCGCCCTACAACAACGGACAAATGCAACATTATCTCCCCCGCATGTTTCGACCCCTGTCGCTGCAGTGCCGCCTCTCCACAACACCCCGAAGTGCAAAACAAGTAACCGGCTTTCAGAATGAAGCGTCGTGTGCACGCGCGCCGAAACTCAACTCTTCGAGATAGTAGCAACAAGAGAACGACTGCGCACTGCATCACAGACGTGGGAACAGACACACGGGCGATGGCAAAGATGCCTGGTACTCGGGCGTCCGCTCGCCACGCGGCCGCGGCATGGCTCCGGAGCTGTCCCGGCACAGCCACGCAGGATGGACAGCCTCTGCGTCTGAGAAAACATGGCTCGACCTTCCAGGAGGGGAGCGGCGACGTGACAGCATGCGCAACGCGTGCCACAAACACTGTTCGACGCTCGCAGAAACGTGGCTCTGCTCTGCAGCAGCTCCCAAGGTGAGACCGGAAACGGTACAGGGCGCCGTCTTGGCCGCTGCATCCATCTCTGCCTGGCACCCTGGCAAAAGGACCCTGAACAGCCACTCCACGGGCCCTGCGAGCAGAATGTGTGTCGCTGAACGCATCCGAGGGGCCACATCGCATGTGGCACGCTCTGGCTGGGTCGCGAGTGTCTGGCGGCTGCGCGGGCGGAGCGCAGCGGGTGGCGCGGCGAGAGGACGACAGCTGAATGATCAAACAGCGTTTGCACTCAGGGATCCTGATTTGTTTTCCATTCGTTTAGAATCAATACACATCACTGTACTTCGTTTGAGACCCAGCCTTCGGTCGGGCAAGCCAAAAATTCAAAAAATAATCAAGAGATGCTCTCAAAAATAATCAGACATTTCGAAAAATCGTCCCCAGACGATGTTTTGATTTTTTTTGACTATTCCTCCTGTAGAGGGACATGCCCAACTTAAACCCAGCCATGCACGCTTCGTGCGCGCCGCGTGCGCCGGCTGCAGAGACTTCTGCATCTTCGGTCGGTGCCCAGGACTTGGGCGCCTCGTTGGCGTCCCGTGCGCTGGCTGGGATGTCCAGGAGTCCCAGCTGGTGCTGAGCTGTTGGCGCCCAGTGAGCGCCCCATCCAAGGCCACGCTATAACGGCGATGGTGTTGAAACGCGATGTTACGGTACAGAAAACCGTCTTCGCGTGTCAAGATAACTCGGAACACGGCTCATTCCTGCAAGTCTTTTGATAGTAATATTGCAGCTACGGACCTAGGAATTTAACTGACGTCAGGAAAATAACGGCTCTCGAAAGGAATTTTCAACATCTTTCAAATTTTAGCAAAACCTACCCAAAGTTACCACATTGTCTCTTTTGGTCGGTTCGGCCAACTGGCGCCGGCGGTGAACCGTCAAACTGGTCACCGCCGGGAACCTCGTAGAGCTCCTTGCACGCGTAAGAGTGCTCAGATTGAGAGCGAACAGCTTCTCGGACAATTCCTGGAAACACATGGAATTTCCATTTTTCATTGTGAACTTGATGCGGGTTGCTCCTAATTTTCCGATAGTAAAACGGCTCGAGAGAGCTGAGCTACTCTGGGAACAAAGTTTATGCCAATGCTCCGCGTGAACATCTGCTTTTTCAAAATGAATGGTCAAATATCTTTCAACTGCCAGCAAAATCGACCCAATGTTGCCACATTGTCTCTTCCGCTCGGGTGATTCAACTAGCTCCATCCGCGCCGGAATTCCTTCAGCTCATCGATGCCGAAGAACTCTACGAGGTGCTGGCACCGGCGGTGAACCGTCAACCTGGTCACCGCCGGGAACTTCGTAGAGCTCCTTTCACGCGTGAGAGTGCTCCTCAGAGTCGAATGGGAGAGCTTTTCGAGGCATTTCTTAAAAAATTGGAATTTGATTTTTCATGTGAAATAAAGTTGGTTGCGCCAAGTGTAAACGCCTACAGAGCTCATATTAAGACGCAGAGGCTCTCACAGTCGTCTACAGGTGAGCAAAATCTGGTTTCTCAAAACAGATTGTCAAACACCTTTCAAATCTTCGGAAACCCACCAAAAGTTATCACATCTTCTTTTCTGGTCGGTCCACAAACTGGCGCCGGCGGTGAACCGTCAACCTGGTCACCGCCGGGGACCTCTTAGAGCTCTTTGCACGCGTAAGAGTGCTTAGATTTAAACCAGAGAGCTCATTGGAACATTTCTAGAAAAATGTAGAAATATTATTTTCGGTTGTCAACTTCATGTCGGTTCCTCCTAATTCTCCGATAGTAGAACTGGCCCTAGAGAGCTGAGCTGCTCTGGGAACAAATTTCACATTCCAATGCTCGGCATAAAAATCTGCTTTCTCAAAATGAACTGGCGCCAGCGGTGAACCGTCAACCTGGTCACCGCCGGGAACCTCGTAGAGCTCCTTCCACGCGTGAGAGTGCTTAGAATCGGCAGAGAGAGCTTCTGGAAGCAGTTCGCGAAAAAAGCAAAATTGATTATTTTTTTCATGTCGATATGAAGTTGGTTCCGCCAAGTGTTTTGATAGTAAATGTGCGTCTGCAGAGCTCATATTAAGACGTAGAGGCCCTCATAATCGTTTACAGGTGCGACAAATCTGCTCCCTCAAAATTAATTGTCAAATTTCTTTCAAATCATAGCAAAACCGACCCAAATGTGCCACATTGTCTCTTCTAGTCGGGTCGGCCAACTAGCTCACCCCGCGCCGGGATTCCTCTAGCTCATCGATGCCGAAGAGCTCTACGAGGTATGGTCAAATATCTTTCAAATTTTTCCAAAACTGACCAAAAATGCCACATTGTCTCTTTTGGTCGGTCGACCAACTGGCGCCGGCGGTCAACCGTCAACCTGGTTTTTTGGGTTTTCGGACCGATGTCCCAGCTGGGTCAACTGGCGGCCAGAATCTGCTGCGCCAAATGCACAACAGCGCTAGTAAGCGCCTCAGCAGCACTAAGTTCGGCGTCGGTTATCGTAGCACCTTCCAGGCACCACGCGGCTTCGCACACATCCCTCCAAACGAGAGGCATATTAGAGGACACGGAGTAGGGGGAGGAGGAGGGGAGAGGAGAACACGAGACACTCTTATTACAATCATATCTATGATTGATGAAACCCACTTGAAGCCAAAAGCCGCACCCCGTCCCTTTGCTGCAAACTCCCCCATCGTATCCACCACGACAGGCGATAGGTTGTAGAAAGTCCTCAAAGCTAAACATGTACTCATACTGGTTGTAGAAGCAGTGGCCCTCGCGGGCCAAATGTGTAAGTTCATCAGCCCGTGTGTTGTCTTCCCTGAATTCATGCCTATATAAATCTTTCCCCAATCCAGAACTTCGAATACCCAGATCCCCCGCAGCACGATCTAGAACGTTAATGCATCGGTCCACACGTCTCTGGTATTGTTTATTGTCGCATCGCCATCGTCCCGTCAGCCAGTTATTCACAAGTAAACTATCCCCTTTGATTTCTACCCCGAATCCTGGACTTACAATGTCCCACACCGTCTGCCTCTCGTAGATAATCGCCAACCTCTTAGCAAGTTTTTGTGTATCTTTCTCACTCGGTATACGCTCAGTATCCCCCACCATCTCGGGAGGTGTATAGTACGCCGCTGTGCCCTTCCAGTTCTGAACAAAATACAGGAATACCTTTGGTTTATCGTACATGCACAAAAGATTCTGCCACATCTCCAGGAAAGAACGATAGCTCGTCTCGACACTCGACCACCAGGAGCTGCCATATGTAAGAATGTATGGATACTGCCAGCTACGCTGGCCCACTCTCTCTGGACCAGCCCTCAACCTCTTGATCGTGGATGCCTGAGTACGGTTGCCGTGTAGTCGGCAACATTCTGCCATAATGTCCCTGCGCGTTGTCCACTCAACATTGTACATGAGCAATCCCCTTCTGCTGTCCACGAAAGCTCTGTTATCAGGACTGCAGTGATCAATATCATGAGCTGGGAGGGAGAGTGTGGGCAGTAGAGCCGCCGACCCACTCCCTGAATCAATATTCTCAGAAGCCAAAGAATCACCGCCAAACCCTTGTCGTAGCCCCTGCAGTCGTCGTCTCTTCAAGGTCTGCCTGTTGAAGCTGGCGTCCTGGGTCGCAATGTGCCTGGCGAGCTCCTGTGAAACATCCTCCAGCCTATCACTCAATGCAATACTCTCAGCAACAACTTGTGAGATGACTCCCGCGAAAGATTGCGAGGGTGCATCAGCAAATCGTACTCTCTTCTGGGAAGGCCCAGGATCAGCAGCAAACGTGGCGACGTGTGCCTGGGGTGTTCCCTCGCATTCGGGGCTTCCCCAGGACTTGCGTCCTGACGCCTCCTGCAAAATTTGGCGACGTTGCCTGAGGTGTTCCCTCGCACTCGGGGCTTCCTCAGGACTTGCGCTCTGACGCCATTGAACATGTCGACGGTGACAATCTGACAAGATATACTCCTTGATACTTCTCATCATCGTCCAGCTCTTCCAAGCAATCATCTGTACAGCTGATGGGAAATTGGCCTCAGCGAAATGCTGTCGCACCTTGTGGAGCATCTCAGGGCGCCAGACACCCCATGTTAGCGAAGACGGCTTGCGACGGCACCACATACGCAGCAGACACATGCCCTCAAAAGCATGTATGGTTCGCACCGCCTCAGCATCAAGCGTGAACATCTCTCCCGCATATAGCAGACGCGATTGGACCTGAGCTTGATAACGACGATATTTGTGTTTCAGCGGTACCGATCTGCATCCAAAATATGATATCTGAGCGAAAAAGGATCCTCGTAGAGCTCTGTGCACGCGTAAGAGTGCTTAGATTCAAACCAGAGAGCTCATTGGAGCATTTCTAGAAAAATGTAGAATTTTCATTTTCGGTTGTCAACTTCATGTCGGTTCCTCCTAATTTCCCGATAGTGTAACTGGCTCTAGAGAGCTGAGCTGCTCTGCGAAGAAATTTCATATTCCAATGCTCGGCGTAAAATCTGCTTTCTCAACATGAATGGTCAAATATCTTTCAAACTGGGCGCCGGCGGTAAACCGTCAACCTTTCTTACCGCCGGGGGACTCGTAGAGCTTCCTGACAATATATTGTGGAAAAATGCAGAGAACGAATAGTTTTTTAGCCCAAGCGATTTCAGATCTCTCGATGCAACAGCCGAACGCCCCCGATGCTTCTGGATTGTCTTCTTTACGAGCTCTGTAGCTCTCCTACAGCCCGAGTTACGTGCGTAAATCGACAGCACCTCTCAAGATGACTCTAACAAAACGAATAGTTTGGCAACCCAGCTCAAGTATCAAACCGAGTTCAGACCTCTGAATGCGACAGGCGGACGCGTCTGATTTCTGCGAATCGACTCCTGTGATTACCAGCCCTGCAGCCCCCC